TCTTCTGGGCCAACAAAAATTTGTCAAGGACCACACACTTTTTCAATATTATTTGCGAGGATATTAAAATAACTTTCATAGTGAGGCGATACGTTGATTAGAAAAGTATATTTATATTAACTGAAAAAATATGAAAACTGTTAATGAGAACATTGAGCTTGATTTTTGGATACCAGTTCATCGATATATCTGGTTTGATACAAGGTAGACAGAGGACGAGTATTTTCTCAACATATTCGTCTAAAATTTTTGTTCTTGTTTTATTTTTTTTGTGTGCTACGTATGGGGGGAAAAGAATCTGCAAATATAAGTACTCAGGAAGCAACAATAAAATTATTCTTAGGATATAGTAACGAATTGTTTAATTTTTTATATTATGTTCCAACGTTTCTAAATTTCAATTATTATTAAGTATTTCGCAATACTGTCTATTTATCTACGTTTATTTGTTCAAATTTTCAAGAAATTGTTAAAATAAAACAAATATCGTGAATTTCAGAAATCTTTTACCATGGCAGTCAATGTTAAATTAAAATTATTCGAATGATAGAATTCTTATTCAATTTTGGTTATACAGCGCGTATATCACGCCTGACGTAGATGTAAAAATGATTTTGAAAAGTTACGAAGTATCGCGAGAGTATAGTACACTCAATGGTATGCAAGAATGCACATACACATACACAGAGGGAATGACACACGTAGGTGTGTCGTAAATCTTCTTCAAACGAGCTGTTTGGTAATTTCGATGTTCGTATAGCAGGCGTTGTCCATCGAGAGACGGCGGGAAAGTTTAGTTTAGTCGGAGACTAACCAAATTACTTTCCGTCTCGACTCTGGACCGGCTCTGCACGAGAGAAAAAGCGTAGGAGACACGCGAAGGGCGGCAAATGACGAGAGATGGTCGAATTTGCTCCGCTGTGCGTAAATGTAACATTTATTTCGGCATAAATTATGACGATAGATACATAGATTAGGTATAAATACAAAACGAATTGACTGTAGACAGGACTTGTAGTGAAAATACATCGATGCGTTTTTGTCGCACCGGTACTCGTACTCGATTCGTTCCGCTTATTCCCGGCAACTATGATCGGCTCGACGACACCGTCGATTCGTCGGCGAGCAATACTCCACAGAGACAGAGACAGAAACGGAAACGGAAACGGATGAACACGGAGGCAAAGAGAAGTAGAAAGAGAGAGAGAGAGAGAGAGATAGAAAGTAAAAAGGACGGTCCCTGTTTAATAATAAGCGGAGAATCGTACGTGATCGAATCGCGTTAGCGGTGCTTATAGAAAATACATACATGCCAAGTCTCAAGACTGACTTTCTGAGCAACGATTTTTCTCGCACGGCGAGTTAGATTCGAGCGCGCAAAAAACCTCTCTGTCTCTCGTTACGTTCTGTACCGTGACGGAATACGAGAATATATATACGGTTAGAGAGAAGTTCGCGGGGGGGGTGGGGGGAGGGGGAAGGTTTTGTTTGATTTCGTAACTGGAAAGCTTTCTTTCCATTTTTTGATTCGAGATGAGAGGAGGGAGGGAGGAAGGAAGGGAGGGAGGGATGGGTGGTCGTCGTTGATCCGCGCGAAACTGGAGTGAAGGGTGGAGGGCGGAGGTCAGGGAGAGGCTGGCGAAGACAAGGAGAAAAAAAGACGGGCAACTTTTCTTTTTCTTTTTCGTAGCACCGGACCAATAAGACCATAAACGCGCTGCCTCGAGCGCGAGTGAGTTCACCTGTGGAATATTCGTACATATACATATATACAATACATACTCTCGGAGAACAGCGGACTGGAGCGACGGGGGGCGAGGGAGTGGGAGGGAGGGAGGGAGGGGGGAAGAAAAAGAAACAAAGAACGCAAGCCCGCGTGAAACGCAACGATTTTTTGGCAAAATATCGCGTCGCTTGTGTCGCTACATGCGTCGTCGTAAACCTACTTACATCGTATTACGTACTATAGTTTTCTTTTTTTTCCCTTTTCTTTTTACGAACCGTTTCACGATTTAATTAGGATCACAGCCATAGCTTTGAATACGAATACCTCTCTCGTTCGCATTTCCCTTATTTTTTTTTTNTTTTTTATCCTTTAAGACCGATACGATTACAGTTACATAATTAATTTGTTTTTTTTTTTTTTTCTTTCGGTGATAGTCGTGAGAGTTAAGACTGCAGGCTTTTCTACCGTTAACGTCTCTCTAGAGCGGCTACACATCGACTACACGGCGGGAGGGGTGCGTGTGTAGATTGCCAACAGTTTCTAAGAGCCTTACGGAACTAGTGGAAGCAGAGGTGGCTGGAGGGGGCGAGTGAAGGTGAAGGCGAAGCCAGAGATGAAGATGAAGACGAGGGTGCACACGAGGTGGTGGGGGAGGGGGCGTTCAGACTAGACGAGAAGCTCGAAATAAAATCGGACTAGAGGCGAGAAGCCGATTACATGTGCGTTCGTACATATACATATACATATACATATATACTACGTGCGTATATATATCTGCTGTTGCTATATCGTGTCTGCCGCGGGTCGACCGCATCTACTTGCGCTTGCCGTGGCGCGCTAAAAACTCCGTAACTTGGCGTAAGCTCGACTATTCGTGTTTTCCAAGCGAAGGAATCCGAGAGGCGTTACGCCACCGCGGTCACAAGTCGTACGCGATCCCATCAGCCTCACACACACTGTCGCATCGCTCGTCTCTGTCGACTAGAAAAAATAAAATTTACCATTTTCGGACGTGATCGCAAGATCGACCGAGACGCGAACAGTTTGAAACTGGCGGAGGGGGTGGTGGTGAATCGAACGACGACGACTGTGACAACGATGACGATGACGATGACGATGACGATGACAATGGCGATGATGGTGACACTGACAACGATAACGATCACATCGACTTTTCTACTATCACTACACGATACACGTCTACTCTGATAATTCTCTCTACTTTAGGTGCACGTCGTAAAACACATCTAGCCCCCGCTTTCTTCGTTTCGTACCGATCGTTCAATTGTCGTTGGAATCAAGATCTTGGAGATCACCTCCGACTCGAGAGGAGAAGCGAAACGGTCGCTCACGATGATAGGAAACCCCGTCGGAAGTTACATCCCCGGCAGCGGATATTGCGCGTGGACGAATTGAACGACGAAATCGGGACGAAACGATCGAAAGCGGGAAAGACGAAAAGAGAAACTGTGACTAGAGGCCCGTTGTGCGGCCGACGCAGGATGGTCCGGTCGTTTCTCGTTCGCCGATCGAACGAGGGCTCGCATCGGTGGGCCGAAGCTACTGCTAAGTAGTTAGGAGGGACCGTGATATCGGACGTATACGTTCGCTTAAATCGTTATCTACTCGATCTATCAATATCGGCTACTCGAGAAAAGAAGCGAGAACAACAGCGTCTACCATTTCTCTTTGGCGTGCAACGACTATCTCGTCGGGGGGAGGAGGGGCGTGGAGGGGGCCCGAGAATCGCTTTCGCCCCCGACTGACGACGTCTTAACGATGTAACAATCGAGCAATCCTCGAAGATCTCCAAGTTTCGCCGCGACAGATTTTATTCGACGGCCTTATCGGAGATCACTCCGCGTTCGCCTGGCGACGAAAGCGACAAAGAAAAAAGAAACCACGAATCTAATGCGAATCCAATGTACCTGACTATCGTTCGATCTACCTGGTTCTCGGGACCCCCCCCCTTTCTTTCTCGAACTTGAACGAGTTCTACTCCACCGACTCGCGTTTTACTTACCAGCGAGTCGGGCTAACATCTAACGACTAGAATTATCCGCTAGGTTAGACGAAGCGTCACGTATCTACGTCTAAGCTAAATTATCTACCACATCGATCGAGTTTTGTCTCGAGACTGCTATCTATTCAGCTTCTAAACGAATATTTGTACGCCGTGTCTGTGTGTGTGTGTGTGTGTGTGTGTGTATCTTTTTTCTTTCTTTCTTTTCTAGTGGCGATTTTTCTATTTTCTATTTGGAACTCGTGAATCGGCGAGGAAAACAAAAAAAAAAAAAAGAAACAGAACAGCGTGTTTCTGAAATCTAGTCGATGAACAGTTCGTTCGTCCCCGCCGAGTCGCGAGAAACCATTTTAAAACCCTGTAATAGCACACGACTAAATGGCACCTACGGAGTCCTACTGGGTTCGTTCGCTAACGACAACTACGTTCGACAGATGGGGGGCGGGGGGGGGGGGGGGGGGGGAGAGGAAAGAGACTGGTTACATTCAAGCGGATGGAAAGAACGAACGAAAAAGCAGCGAACATATATAGTACAAACTGGACGAAAAAAAGGAAGAGGAAAAGGATTGGCGAGGGAAGAAGGTGAGCGGATAGCGAAAAAGCGTTAAACGGGTGGAAAAATGGAGGCTGAGAAGATAGAAGGGATAGACAGAGGGAGGAAAAGACAAAGAGAGAAAGAGAGAGAGAGAGAGAGAGAGAATGGTAGAAAAGGAGAAAGCAGGTTGAAAAAAGAACGGCGTTCCGCCGCGAAATCCCGACTATAGAAACACGAGTATCCATCGAGGTACGTTTAAAAGCGAAACTTATTCGGACACGCGCGTCAATCTATCGGTCGATAAACGCTAATTTACGACCGATCGTTAATAACTTACATCTATGCTCGTTTCGCGTTTTGGTATCCGCTAGGTAGATATATATATATACATACACATATATATATACATATACATATATATATATATATATATATCGTTGAGCAAAGCCGAAGGTACAAAAATCACCGGGCTCGCGCGACCATGAGCGAGAGGGGAGTTAGGAGGTTGGGCGTTGAACGGGCGATCGCGATGAAAATCGCGTCGTGTCACGGCCGCGCGGTCTCTCTACACGTTAACAAAAATAAGTATCGCGTCGAAGTTGGGCCGCTGACACGACGACGATCGTCAAACCCTGGCCAATTGGAGGATTGTGCGCGTATATTATGTGTGTACGTGTGCGTATGGACGTTTGTGTTCGTGTGTGTGTGTGTGTGTGTGGAAGCGTGCGCGCGCGACTAGTGGGGAGGGGAGATAAAGTTGGCCGCAAAGCTCCGTTCCCCGGGGAACGGCGCCAGGATGAAGGAGCTCGAGGAACTCGGGGGAAGCGTAGGTAAGCGTCGAGGAGGCGTTCGCCGCGCACACACTCGACGACAGGACGCAATTTCGGAGAAGCGCGCGCCGGGTACAATGACGCCGGTACGTTAAACCGGTGGATCGGTGGACGAGAAGCAGCGCGTGTCCACGAAAGAAGGACGCGTAGGAGAACTTATCCTGCCTTGCGAGACTTACAACTTACGTGCTAATACTTTGGGAATTATGCTTTCCTCGATCCTCGATCACATTGCGATTTTCTTTTCTTTTTCTTCTTCTTCTTCTTCTTCTTCTTCTTTTGTATACTCGACGACGATACCCCGTTTTATCATTTTTCTCCGCAAGTACTGTCGTTAAAAACTACTTAATTTTCTCCGACCTAAAATTTAAACACTAGCATTGGACGTGTGTTGGCTTCTGCCCGATCGCCTTTGATTTCTTTCTTTCTTTCTCGTATCGCGCTCGCGAATTCGATCGTCGCTTCGATCGCTCGTTTTTTTTTTTTCCCCCTTTCTTCTGCGTTATTATTGAACTTGGTGAATTTCGAGCGGATCGAGGTCAGACGAAAGAATCGGCGAATCGACAGCCGATCCGCGAATCCTTCCTTCCTCCCGAGAGGAACTTTCGTCCCGGATTCGAAAATAAATCAGAAGGGAATCGGTGTGCGCGCGATATTTGATCGTTAACATCCCTTTCCTTTTTCTCCTTTTTTTTCTTTTTTTTTTACGCGTAGTGTTCGCAGTTCCCACACTCGGACAGCGTGGGTGTGGACGGACACTAGGTGGGATTCGAGTCCTCGTAGGCCTTTTCGTAGTCTCGTCGACGAATCACCGCGAAGTGAGTCATCTGAAAGGTGTTGGTCTTCTTGCAGCCGCGCTCCAACGTGCCGGTCATGCTGTAACCCATGTTGAAGTCGCTGGACGACACGTTCGACGTCAGGTACAACTGACGACAGAAAGAAACAGGCATCGTTCACACCAATATCTGTCTGTTGCTGCTGTTGCTGCATGTATACGCGCAGCTAGAGCAAATGTGATTCTATGGTACTCTTCAAATCAAGGACATGGAATAAAATAAGAGAGAATAAAATATTTTCTTCCGAAAACGTGCACATTTTGTCGAAGTTCAATTCAACGAAGAAACGAAGAAGTGGAACGTTGAAGTGTGTACCTTGAAATCGGGATCGGTGGTCATTCGCTTAAAAGAACCGATAATATAAAGCGTGCCCGTTCCTGTGTCCACCATCTTTGCCTGAGTGCTGTACCTGAAACGAACGTTCATTCGATAAGTAATTTGACGGACGCGACGAAAGTAGTTATCAATAACGTGTCTGTGATTTTGTCCCAGACTTGGACGACTTAAACATTCGATTCAAGCTTCTAACGAAGGTAGTAGACGTGTTCATCAGCAGCAGTCGTCCGATGAAACATGGTAGAAAGAAATTGGCATGAAATTGACATATAATTCGACACGTTTCGAAACGTTGCAAGTACCTGTATATTTTTTGAAATTTAGAGGCAAAGAGGATCATCATTTAAATCAATAGAAATGGTATAAATTGCTCAAAATCATTCGAAATTAATTGCCTTTTAAAGAAACTAGTTGGAGAAACTTGGCAATTTATTTGTCATTTGTCAAATTGTTAAATTTACCTCATAAAAAAAAAAAAAAAAAAAATTCACGAAAACGTCTTTGCTCTACGATCTCGCTGCGTGCTTTCGCTTCGCTTTCCAAGTACGTGTATCGGTATATATGCGGTAGTGGCAATGATCGACCGTGACCTCCACCTCGGCCAGGTAAATTAAAAGGGCAAACACACAGAGCCGATTGTCAGAGATCAACATTTTCCAGCTGTTGCCGACTACTGCAGCGAGGGGGAGGCAGGCAGGCAGAGCTTTTGTCGCGAAAAAAAAACACACACACACGACCGCTCGCGGGTTTTCCGTGTAAGCGCTTTATCGCTTTCGTAAATCAGTAATACGATTACCGCCGGTGTCTCTCTCCACCATTGTGCTTTTGATACGGTCGTTACAACGTTCCGCGCGCCGAGCGAATAAATGCACAACAGCGCTTGGACTGAGAAACTTCACTCTGCTCTCGATCTAGCAGCCCAACGTCCGAGGAAATCGATCATCGAGCGCGGAAAGTGAGAGCAAGGTTGTCGCGGTAATTCTGTTACGTTCGACGATGTTCGAAGAATCAATTTGTGACGAATCGATGTAGCTAAATTGCATCTCGCGACTCGTTCAATTTTATTAATTAACGATATATATTGATTTATTTCGAATCGAAGCGTGCCAGCAGCAGGTACGCAAGAACACAGATATTTCGGGAAACTGAAACAAATAACTCGAAACGTTTCGAACGTCGCAGGTAATTTGTATTCGTTATTTTTAAATAACGAATTTGCGAACGGTGCAAATTTATTTAGAGGACTGGTCCGAAAGGAAACACTAGTTGTAAAGATGCAATTTATTGTTATTCGTTAATGTCAAATTTATTCTGGAAAATTAACGAGTACGAGGGTTGATTCTCGTCGAGACGGTAATGTCACGTCAACCGTCTATCGAAATACTGCTCAACGAAGATCGGAAAACCTTAAAAAAAGGGTGGGGAAAATCGCGAGACGGGAGTGAAGCGTGCCGCTACTTGGGCGTGGAGTCGTACGCGCGAAACGAGCCAAGAATAATTAATAAGGAAAGAAAGGTTGAGGTGGAGAAAGGCGGGGAAGAGAGACTCGAAAAGAGAGGAGGAGTTGGACCGTTTTGGCAAGCAGGGTCGAAAAGTGGAGGTGGGGGAGGAGGGGACGAAGGATAAACGGGAGGACAGAGGTAGAAGGGAGAGAAAGAGAGGAAAAAAAAAAAGAAGAAAGAAGAGAAAAGAAGGGAGAGCGAGGGCAGCAGCCCTCCCTGGTGACTCGAGGGGCTTATTCCGGCAAGCGCTTCAGCCCGGCGACGATCATTAAAAGTTTAAACGCTCTCCATTGAAGTGCGGCGGATCCAACACTCGGTTGAAAATCCACCGTGGCTGGCTGGTGCTTTGACTTTTCCTCCGGTTCTCGATTCGCTTCACAAAGGAAAGTTCCCAGCCGGAGCACCCTTTCGATGCTCCGAGCTGCCCGTCAACCAACCGGCTCGCATCGATTGCCCGCAGCCCTCCTCGCGTGTTGTCTCGCGACCAACAATTTCTTCGTACGCTGCCTTCGTCAGCCGCTCGTGACAAAAGAACGCGAAACGAACGAGTTTCGCGTTAGGATCGGTGACTAGAGAAGCGCGAGTCTTTGGCGACATTCGATCGCGAACCTCTTCTTTGCACACACGCACACTTTGTGTGCTCGGTTTCTAATCGAAACGCGGGCGAGTTGAACAACGTTGCACAGTTCGGCGATGGGCGTAATCGCGTGCTTTGACCGGTGTCGCGTGCGAGCTGGCAAACAGCGTCGTATTTGCCAGCCCGTACGAAAGTTGGAAGAGGTTCGAACCGGAGGATTCACTGACCGCCAAACCGGGTCGGTTTGTTTGCCCTGACTTGACGCGGTCTGCTCGCCACGCCGCGGGCGAAATTACTGGATGACGAGATATTTCGGAAAATTCGTCTGCTTTGTCGGAACGAATCCCCCGATATCTCGAGAAACTACGTTCGTGAACGAACGTGACACGCAACTTTCCTCTTCGAGAGACCGACCGACGGAAAGGTGCTAAAATTGGAATCGAGTCGCGCCGTTAGGAACACGTTTAGCAAATGGAAAGTTAGCGCCACTCGCGAATCGACACTCTTGGCGAATTTCTCGATTAATTGGCCGCCGAGTCGACGAGTTTCGGAAGTAATTGGCCAATACGAGCCGAGGCGTGTTGCGCTTATAACTCGCAACTATTTCTCAACTACGTTGACCCGGTCACGCCGGCGCGTCTCGAGTTCCCTTTTCGCGCGTGCACGATCAGCAATTAACGCGCGACGAACAAACGAAAATTAAATTAAACGTCCGCTTGGAATCGTGATCGAGTGCGGCGAATACCACACGCGTTGGAACGCAACGCGTGGTGGAAGTAGGGCAAACGGGCGTCGTCGCGAGAAACACGTCGAGGAACAGTTTGACCTCGTGACCTCGGGGGGGAACAAAGGGTTCGTAAAGAGGAAAACGAGTGGAAATAGTGAAATTTTCGAATGCGATCTTTGGCTGGCAACCACGCTGGTATCGTATGTATATATTCCAGCCACGTAATCCAAAAGCACGAATTTCATCAGCCACGGAATCACCCCAGGTCACGGTTCACGCGAAACCATCGTGGCAGCGTGTGTACGTGATCTTCCTCCTTCCACGAGCCAACATCTTCTGACACAACGTGCGGCCGTTCTGGCGCAGAACTCACCTCCTGGTTCCAGCAACTTCCACTACCTTGCATCGACTTCGACTCCACCAGAACGGCGTCAAAGTCCAGTAGGAACTGCTCGCGCTTCTCGCCCAGCCTTCCTCCGGAAACAGAAGCACCTGCGGCACACAGAAACGTACTCGATGCACTTCAACAGATACGCGCGATGGGCGAGCGAGACGTGAAAATTTCACGATCCGCTGAACGTAAAAATCGGACGAAGATGATGAAAAAAAATCGATCGGTGGGGGTTAGCTAAAAGAGTATGAAAGAGAGAGAGAGAGAAAGAGAGAGAGAGAGAGAAACGGGAGAAAAGGTGGTAAATTTCCTTCTTCGACGCTCGACAAAGGAACGCTTGGGGCGCGGGCGGGCCGCGACCCTCCTCTTCCTGGGGTTAAGCTTTCCCTCGCGTTCTCTTTAAACCTCCACCTCTGCGCGCGACCGATTTTCTCTCGTGCTTCAAGGAACTTCGTCGTGATTCGCTTCGCGCCTTCTTTCGCCTCCGTCGGTTCGTGAGCGCGATACGACGGAGAAAATGTCACGGCGACGCCGGTGGACTTCTCACCGAAATATTCCGAGAAATTTCGAGAGAAAAGAACTATTATTATTATCGATTGAGCGTCGAGCGACTCGCGCGGATAGTCGGTGAAATTCCCTCGGCAGCGAAATTTCTCGTCGCGAGCGGGAGAGGATAAGGGTAACGATAGAGCGTCGATACTAGCTCGCGGATCGTCGAGCGGAATCAGCTTGTTTAAGCCGGGACACTGAAACGTCATCCTCGGGGTATTTCACCGGCAGCGGAACGCGCGACAAAGCGGGGAAATACTTCCACGGGCGTTCCCTCCGTCGCGAACGCCCTCCTTTGAATACATCATCGCGTTCCTCTCGTTCGTTTTTCCGTCGCTAAACTCGGAGCATCGACCTCGCGTGCCGAGCGTGTATGTATGTACACAGCGTGTATGTACGTACACATGTACGTGTCCTCAAATTATTTGGCTATTGCGCTATTCGTATTCGGTAATTCGGTAGCTCGTAATTGTTTTTTCCCCGACGTACCAAAGTAATGGAATAATTTCGCGAAAACTCTCGAGTCGAGAGTTACGCGACACCGAGAGAGCAGCACGCTCTCTCCGACTCTCTCCCATGCGAGGATTCGGTAAGAGTGACCAGCTTGCCCAGCATCCTGCCTACTCTACGCACAGCGGATAACCGGTTAATCCGATAATCCGCTGCCACGGTCCATTGCCTCGTCGATCGCTCTATTCTCGTCCCTGGCTGTACGCGCCTCGCCGTTCTCCCTTTCTTTGCGTCGTCTCTTAACCCTCCCGTTTATCCTTCGAATGCTACTTGTTTACCACCCTCGTTCACATCACAAGGCTCTCCTTTCCATTCTTTTACATCCCTCCCACCGTATATTCATCGTATCGTGCATTTGTCGTGCTTCACCAAGAAATTCGTTCCAAGAAACTCGACGAAACTCGCCCCGGCGAATTTGCAATGTCCGATTCGATTCGACTCGAGTCAAGTCGAGCTCAAGTTCCTCTCCCCTCGAATAAGATTGGACCGCCGCTGCGGAGAATGTCAATGTTGCGAACTAAAGGCGAGATGAAGACACAAAGGGAGAAGAAGAAACAAAATGAAACAATGACGCCGACGATTGGATCGCGTTACGAGCTACGTGACGATAATGAACTCGACCGATCAACGCGTGGAACTTAACAGCCGAGTCCCAACAAGTTCGCCTCGAGTTCCCGGGCTCGCGCACGTTCCGAGGAATTGCGAGCTCCCCGCGGCCGTTTCCCTCTCTCGCGAGCACCGCCGCGGGAAAACTTTGGCCCAGGGGAATTGACGAGACGACGCGAGCGGAATTTTAACTAGAATCCGAAATGGCGAGGAATTTTCTCAAGGAATTTCTCGTTTACCAATTTCTCTCTCCTAGCCCGGCTCGCAGCCAGCGAACGGGGGGATGCTCGAGCGGTCGAGTTCGCCGAGAGGACAAAGCGCCGGGTATTTTCTGGGTTAGTCGCTCGAGAAAACGGTAGCCCGGTAACGCGATGCCGTTCCAGACGATAAATATACATATATACATACATATATATATATATGTACGTATGTGTAAGTCTATACGTTATATAGGTAAATTATACATACAGGGTGTCCCATCCTCGCAACCTTCTAAGTACTAACGTCCGATATATCGACACCTATGTAACATCTGAGAAAGCCGAATGTATTATTGCAAATAAATTATAATAAATTATTGGAAGACAACGCAGTCTTTATTTGAGTTGATTAACTTTGAAAATATAGGAACAATAATTTATATGGAAACATGTAAAATTAAGCTTCGTCTGGCGATTTAAATCGGTTCACTAGCGAAGGGGGATTTAAATACCCCGTCCTTGGAAGGTTAAAACTATTCATTGTAAACAAAAATGTTTCAAATAATAGAGGGCGTCCATAAAGTCTCCTTACAATTTCAAAAATTTATTGCAAAGACAAATGAAAAGATAGATAAGCGGAATTATTGCAAAATGAGAGATAAATATTTAAGTTTTCTTTTTTGCCTCGTTTAATACACCTCTTTATGAGCACCATTAAGTTGCACGAAGCACATCAAGACGGTACTCGATTTCTTGTTATGTTCGCTGCAGCATATCACCCATCAATGGTGGCAATGGCATCGGTGATCTTCTGCTTTAGATTAGTGATGTCACGTGCCTTTGTCCGATACACGATATTTTTAACATAATAGAGTGTCTTTACAATTTCAAAAATTTATTACAAAGGCAATTGATGAGATATCTTTATCAGATTTGTTCTATGTACTAAGTGGTTATCAAGGTATTTATCACATTGCATTTCAGGTACCCTGTTGATGAGTAAGATACTGTTAAACGAACCCCTTACGAAATGGCTACTCCTCAAGAGAAGGCAGAGTGTGTATCATGGCTTATTGAAACCAAATCGGATCTGCAGACTTAGCGAAACTTCAGAACCAAGTATGGAAGAGATCCGCCAATTCGTGCATGGCACGAGAAATTTATGGAGACAGGAACAGTGTTCGACAAAGGGATGAGTGGACGACCAAGAACATTCGAGGAGGACATCGATCGTGTAAAAAATCGAGTACCGTTTTGATGTGCTTCGTGCAACTAACGGTGCCCATATAAAAAGTGTATTAAATGAGGCAAGGAAAAACTTAAATACGTCTCATTTTGCAATAATTTCCACTTATCAGTCTTTTTATTTTGCCTTTTTGAAATTGTAAAGAGACCTTACCGACACTTAATAAATTTTTGAAATTGTAAAGAGACTTTACGGACACTCTGTATACTGTAGCATCGTAGGTCATCATCATCGGTTGTTGTTAAGTTATAACCCGTAATTGTAGTCGTTACATCTTTAGTTGCGTGTAATTATCCTAGACGGCCTGTAATGTTTGCCGATCGTAGGAAGATGTACAAGATGAAAGAAAGCGTGAATGCTGACGTGGAAGGTTTTTCTTTTTGAAAAGGGGAGAGTGTAAAAAAGAACAGAGTTGTGAGAAAGAGGTTATTCGATATTAGTCGTTAATGTGCGTTCATCATCTATCGTTTAATCACCAGAATTGTTGTTAAATAAATATTATTTATATTTAATCTCTGCAAGACACACGTACGTTATTTGAAACATGTTCCTCTACAACGAACAGTTTCAGAGAAAATTGCGCGGATAGCTTCATACGGGACACCCCATGTATAAGTATGCACAGAGATGCGAGTGCACGCGCGAGTGAACGTACACACGAGTAGAAGCTAGATTAAATCCGGTTTCTCTACGAAATCCCAGAAATCGCGGTACCCGCCGATCCGTGCAACGCGACGCGACGCCACGGTCAGCAATACTTTACACCTGCCACGCTACAAACCTAATTAGATACGACGGGCTTAATCTTGCACGCGTAATGGGGTCGTTGAACGAAACTGGTAACGATCTCTCCTCTCCTCTCCTCTCCTCTCCTCTCGTCTCTTCTCTTCTCTTTCGTTCGTTCATCGCAGGCAATGCCGCGCAAAATTTCGCCTCGACCCTCGTATCTCGCTTCTGTCGATCGTCGAACCGACTAATCCTAATTCGAATTTCCCGCCCCGTCCTTCCTCTCTTCTTCCCCTTCTCTTGCGCATCCGATTTAATAAACCAGGCTCCATCAGCTACTTTGTACTCCCATCTACGTACCGTCAATAAGAAAGAATCAATCTTCGAAACCAACGAACCTGCCTACGCTCGATTCCGATCGATCCCTTTCGGCATTTACCTGCCCCCCATCGGATCGGGGGAACGTTTCTCTTCATTTATGTTATGTCAGGGAATTCCCCAGTCAGGCGTCTATAGTTCCAGAACCAAAAGCGGAGAGTATTCTTTCTTCTACGAAATGGCACCGAAGAAGAAAAGAGAGGAGACGAGCGTCGACTGTTTCAGCACTAATATCATATATACAGTAGTGTAGTGATTTCATATAGTGCAGGGCTTGAATTTAATTGTAAATCTTTTATAAATATAAATTGTTTAGTAAACTTTCAACTTTTAAATTATTTCATTTCCCGTTTTAAATTCACTTATACATTAAAATTTTAATTAACTGTTATAAAAGTTCAATTTTTAACAGTTGCTTTATATTTGATTTGAACAAAGGTTCCAAAGGAACATTTATCTCTATGACAGATATTTTAAAGTAAAATGTAAACGTTTGTACTCTTTTTCACTCACAACTGGCATTATTTAAAGAGTTGAAAACATGATAAATATAGATGAGTAAGTAAGTCGGGATTTTTATGCAATTATGTGATTCAAGGTTTTAACCTCAAACCTATGTAACACTTAACGGTAAAGTTGTTTGAAAGAGACTTAAGTAGAAAAAAATAAGTTTTCTATCTATGTATATATATATATATATATATATATATATATATATATATATATATATATATAAGTTTGAGTATATATAAGTAGAAAAAAATAAGTTTTCTATCTATATGTATAAGTTTTCTATCTATCTATATATATATAAGTATATAAAGTAGAAAAAATAAGTTTTCTATCTATATATATAAGTTTGAATATAAAGTTTTCTATGCATATA